GGCCGCTTTAAACGGAGGGCTAACTAGTTTTCCGCGCGTTGTTGACGGTAAGTACAAGGCGAGCGGCACCTGGTTGCGCTGTCGCCAAACGTACGGTGATACCAACAAAGAGTGTCCTGTTTCGGCGTAGATGCGCCCTGCCGAGAACTAACAGGTCGTTGCGAATGAGACACGTTATTCGTGTAGCTCCGGTCGCTGCGGACGAAGTTGCGTTGACTATTGTGTGTGAGGCGATCTAGCCTGTTCGTCAAGTCGGAGATAGCAGCTTGCATGCCGTCATCCGGTACCTTGACCACATTAACATCAAAATTTGTTGCAGAAATTTCCATTATAGTGTCAGCTTTCAAAGCCAATTCTTCGATGCTGCCATCGAACGTTGCTAAAATTTGCTGGATATTAGTTGGTAAACGTTGTAACCAAAGCGATTTCAAAACTTCCTTGTCAACGTGTTGATCAGCCAAGTCTTTCATTTCTCGCAGCAAAGTTGTGGCTTTTTTGTCTCCCAATCTGCACCCTTCAAATAATCGTTTCAAGCGTTTCTCTTTTGACTCCCCAAACTCCGTAATCAACCGCTCTTTCAGGAGCTCGTACTTCCCTGAAGCCGGCGGTGACATAATTATGTCGCTAGCATGTGCCAACACCGCCGAATCAATTTCTGCCACCACCGTGTAGTACTTGGTCTCGTCACTGGAGATTCCTGCACGTAAAAACTGCGCCTCAACCTGCGCGAACCACAGCCGGGGATTTGGCTTCCAAAACGGTGGCGCCTTAAGGGCGAGCCGTGCCACATGAACTGGAGTAGCCGCGTCTTCGAATCGGTCATTACCATCGTCGCTCATTTTGTGTTTCTTGCGGGGTCACCAATTATAGAACTCAATTCTATATTCTTTATTGTAAAATTTAATCGAATACAATTCTCTCAATACAACTGTGTTGCAACCAAAAAATGTCTTATCAAATTGTGTATCTATCTTTCGCTTGAAGTTAGCTGACGTGCATCGGTTAAAATTTAAAATTGACGTTTCTTCATCTCGCTCAGTGTTGCCACCTGAGTGTATTACCGCGCCAGTGTAAGGGCTAGTCCCTACACATATTTAAAAATCTCCAATGCGCTGGTACTATCGGAATATGATAGTAGGCTTACGATGTCTGTTTTCACCATATAGTCCCTCGAGGTGAGCACTTCTGGGA